GCCTTTGCTCCTGGGAAAGTGATGAGAAGCGCGCTCATGAATAAGCAGTGTTAGACAAGATGACTCCCCCGAATAGTAGGAAGTGGATTGTACCTTCAATTTAGCGGTTGATTTTGCTGAACTTTCAGTGCCCATATGAGCGTGCATCGGGGGCGTCCCTACGTGCATAGGTTTTGGCGCGGCGCCGTTTTGATTCCACCTGCCCGCCTCAGAGCGGGGAAAGATGCATTGGCGTCGTGCCAAAACGCGTGTACGCCGAAGCGCCTCCACCCGACCTTCCGCTATACAATATATACCATTTTCACTTCAAATTCACCTTTTTTCAGACCATATTCACCCAAATTCACCCAATTCACCTTTCAAACCAAATTCACCCCTTTCAAACCAAATTCACCCTCACTTTTCATCAAATTAACCACACTTATTAGGGCGGGCAACTCATCAACCAGATCACGCCAGACATCACTGCGAGCCCCGCCCCGACGGCCACGCCCACTTGTCAGCGCGGACATAGATTTCAAATCTTGTTTCATAACTTCTGCTTTTGCTGTTTCCCACAAACACTTTGACTGAAAACGACCGGGCATTGACACATGGCCGACTCCGCCCATTCTCTAAAGGGTTTGGCAATCTAGCTCCGCCCCCTTGACCACGCCCACTTGCTTTTCGCGGAATTTTGATATTTTTTCAAAATTTTTGCATTTTAGGGCTGCTGCGTGAAGCCCGCCCACTGTGAGAGGCTCCGCCCACTTTGAAGAAGCCCCGCCCACTTTTCAAAAATGGTGCAAATCGGCAGTATAGGGTCTTGGCTTTCATGCTAGGGTCTCGTTCGTCACTCGGAACAAGAAAATCAGGCAAAGTTTGTTCCGAATGATCAGCAATACCCTAGCATGCCAGCCGAGACTCTATACTGCCGATTTACACCATTTTTGAAAAGTGGGCATGGCATATTCAAAGTGGGCGGAGCTAGTGGGCAGGGCACGCACTAACCCTAAAATTAGAATTGAAAGTTCACGCAGCAACCCTAAAATGCAAAACTTTTGAAAAAATAACGAAATTCCGCGAAAAGGAACGGCCATGGTCAAGGGGGCGGAGCCATTTGCTGTATTCTTTAGTGAATGGGCGGAGTCGGCCATGTGTCAATGCCCGGTCGTTTCCAGTCAAAGTGTTTGTGGGAAACAGCAAAAGCAGAAGGTATGAAACAAGATTTGAGAATCTATGTTCGCGCTGAAAAGTAGGAAGTGAGGGTAAATTTGGTTTGAAAAGGGGTGAATTTGGTTTGAAAAGGGGTGAATTCAAAGTGAAAATGTATATAAGTGTTTGTGGG